CATACCCTTGAACCATAACAAAAATCATAGCATTAAATAAATACAAGGAAATCAAGGTCACTTATTTTATGGCTCGATCGATAAGTCGATCCTCACTCATAGTATTTGTTGAAACATAGCGGCAAGTCTATTTGTTGAAACATGATTTGGATGTTTCAGATTCGAATACTCTCGACTCCGCATTTGTATTCCTTCTTCGGTAGCATGTATCGAGTGGCATGCTATTATAGAAGAAAGATAGTGGTTGAGTTTGATATTATTGATTGATAGTTGCATTCGACTAAATAGAGGGTTACTGATTCGGTCTGTCGACCTCGAGAAGAAACCTGCCCCTTATGTATATTTTGAAAGGATAAACCCGACAAATTACCCTTCTTCATGAAAGTGCGACTAGGCTTTTGCCCTGCCCAGCCTTGTTATTGCATACAAAAGCTAGAAGTCGAACTATCTGCCTTACGCCCGTACCTCTATAAAGTGTCATGACTTGTTCACCATCCTTATATAGTCCTAGGGTTTTGTGATTTGTGTGTATGTATATGATAGACTTCTATTGTACCCTAGGTAAAAATGGAAGAAAATCTAGTTGTATTTTTTATGTTTTCTATTTTTCATATAGTAGTTTATATCTATTTGTGATTGTTCTTGCTATTAAAGGGATTCTCTACTTGAGAGTTCCAATTTCAAACAAGACATCTCAAATCCAATGATGAAAAATTCATTACGTAACATACGTCAACTCCATCAAATCTCTCAATTATCCAAACGTCACCTTCAATCATCCCTATATTTCCTTGAAAACACATTTTCGCCCATGATAAGAAATCAACATTTTTGCATGATCCACAAAAAGGAAGAATATATAATTAACTTCGTATTCATGCAATGACTTATCCACTTTCAGTTTTTCTTCCTATCACTTTCTCCACCGGAAAATTAGGGTTACATTAGCATGGTATGGTTACATCTCAACATGACATTTCCCAAATTTGATGCATATTGTTCAATATATCCGAAAGTGATGTATAGCTACAATATTTTGCATATATCCATTCCAAAGACAAAACTACTTGTCCACGACGGCCAACCTCTCATTATCAAACATATCAATACTTCCAAATTTCTACCAAAAAAAGTTACATGATTGATGGTACGAAGTAACTGATGTAGTATGAAATTCACTCTTCAAATTATCCCAACAATTTAATTTTGATAGATGGATGTTCTCGACATGCCAAAGTTATGTAGACATTTAAGTTTCATTGTTTGAATTTCGATAACTTGTTATCTCTACAACTGATTTAAGCACAAAGTATAACGAGTCGACACAAATTTCACATTTATGAGTTAAAAATATTAAAGGGCTTAGGGAACAAAATAATATAAAATTCATTATCGTTGAACTTCTATAAACAAATAGGATAGTTGAAACGAATAGGTTCCATATAATCTCTTAGTTTTTTTTTATCACTTGAGATGATAATTTTGCCCTAATCCATGGGTATTGAAATACCCAACCCAAGTAGAGTACTACATAAATTAGCGTGGGTCCCGGCCATTTGGCCGGAGGAAGGTGAGGTATGGAATTTGATAATGTAATGGGGTGTATAGCTTATTGTTGTATAGTTTTTTTTTTTTGGAAACACGTAATAAAAATAATAAATTTTAGTAGGAAAGAGACATGAATGATGCAACGAATCAAAAATCAGCCTTATAAACCAAAATCAAGTACCTGTTATCTTGTGAAACAATATTGTTTCTGGTAATATGATGAGGTGGAGTAAGTTTTATAGAAACCGAATTCCATAAAATCGAATAAAAAATTGCCTATCCCGCTGGTTTTCGAGAAATGAGCATCTCACAATCGTTGCTAGTTTTTACTCAGCCCGTTGGCCGATTAATTTGCTTTATAAAACTTTCATCTTGTCATCATTGTGTTTTCTGGTTTTAAACTTTCTATTTGAAAATAAAAAATAATAAAAGAAAAGAGATGACTGCAATTCGTCATTTGCACATCACTGATTCGGGAATAAAACTATAGAATTTCGAAAGGAAACTGAAAATGTTTAGGATCGTTTTAATGTTAAAAATAACCAAATAGATCTTTCTGTTTAGTTTTTTACTAATAAATACCAAACGATTCCCTATAATATACACTATAATTTAATCATTATGATATGAAATAATTACATAATATATATTTAAAATGATAAAAATTGGACTAATTGGGTTGGTCGAGGTTGAACCATTGAATAACTTTAAAATACATTATATTTTAGCCACTAAGATATAAAATAATAGCATAATATATATTATACTATAGAAATAGCTTGTTTTAGAATGACAAACCATGATGTTCATTTGTTTTACTGGATGGGCAAATCCCGTGTAGGTCAGGCCCATTCAACCTTTTTATTTTATGATTAGCGGTTAGCCCATTAGAATTCATGCATTAGTTTATTGTTAAATTTTATTCTTTTGAGCAATAAAAAGGAGTATTGTTTTTGCCTTTTCATATATATTTTACCACCACAAAGAAATAAAAGGACTTAAAGAAAAAAATGGACACTCCTGGACCCGTTTAAATTCGCATGTGTACGATAAGTTGGCGCGTTCCACAGAGGAAAAAGAAAAAAATTGACACTCCCTATTCTACCCTTCCTACAAACGCTCTTGGAGCAGAGAATTTGAAATGGGGGAAGGGTTTTTTTCCTCTCTGTGATTATATGTTTTTAATTTAAAAAGATACAACAAATATACTTAGTGTGATTGGTTATGATCTTTGCTTTTCTTTAAAGTATTTATGGTTCGAATCCTAGTAAGTGTCTTTTTAATGAATAAAAAAAAGTAATTGTGAAGACCAAAATGTCCTTCCTACTTTCACTCTGGATGCAGGAAATTTGAAATGGGGCTTCAAGTTTTATCATTTGGCTTTTATTTATTGCGTAGATAGATGAGCAAAATTTGATGGGTTTTAGTTTTTACCTATACTCATCACAAAATTATAGTTTGGTAGCCAAACTTGATATCTATTCCCATGTCATACCTAAACTTAAATCTTTTCTCACATATAAGTCAAAAAAATATTAAAAAAATTACATTATAGTACCTCACAAAAACTTCGTATAATTTAATACCTCATATGATATTATTTTACAAACATGTCAAACTTTACGTATAGTTAAAACTATATCATATTATCAAAGTACCTTCCTTTAACAGTAATTACTACGAGTGATCAAACGAAACGATAAATGACTGCCAAATAACCAACCTCCTCCTAGTTATTGATCCAGTATTCCTTGCATAAATGATGTGGGTCCGTTGAAAAAATTTGGCCCAAACCAAACCCATAAGAACTTTATCACAGGGCGTGGCCATTTGTGAGCTGCATTTGTTTTTGTTTTTGGCTCATGGATGGAAAACTTTGTGAACGTCTGAGAATCTCTCCTGTCCTTTTTGAAATCGATTTCCAGGGTTGAAAATGGAACCACGAAGAGATGTTTTGTAGCTTTAAATTTTTGTGACTGCTTGAGGAAGAAATGGGGGAAGTTGCAGAGTACAAATCAGGACCACTGTCGAACTTGCCAATTTCAGTTCCTCCTCGCCATTATAACTCTTTGTCTCCTATCAAATAAGAAGTAGCAACGGGGCCTTGAAATAAAAGGATATATGGTTTAGGTTACTGTACGCCACATTGAGTTTTGTGATTTAGATCATTAATTAACGGAGTTTGGGACATGATACTATATCCTAATTGTTAATGGGTGAACTCCAGTCTCTAATTTCCTAACCCAAACTATGAAATTCGTTTAATCTTAAAATGAAAATCAATGATAATTTCGACGAATCAGAATCGTTGATTTTCATTTTAAGATTAAATAAATCTCATGCTTTGGTTTAGTGAATTGGGGACTGGGATTCACCCATTAAGGGTTAGGGTATAGTATCATGTCCCAAACTCCGGTTAATTCATTGTTTAAGTAGCAAAACTCAATGGGAGCGTACGGTAGGTTAGCGTACGTCCGAGCGTATATATATAAAATAAGGATTACAGTTCATCCCCATTTTCAGGCTTTCTATGTTTCTCATGCCTGCCCTGCATATGGACCTCGCTCATCATTGTATTTACAAGCCTCTGGTTGTGGAGGAGAAAACAGAGTATGTTGGATTAGTAGGTTGGGAGAGGCTCAATCTTCAATTCTATATCAATATTTTTTTAATGCGTTTCCCCGAACGATTGTACTTCTACTCGGATTAGTTATTGAGATTTCGAGAATTCAAATCAAACAAAATTATGATTTCATATTAAAAATACGTTTAATAGTGGCGAAGAAGCCAGGACTAAGAGTGAGAAGGAGCTGAAAATATAACAAAATGCAACAAGATTTCAAGACTGAACCTAAATCTTGGAAGAGAGAGGGCAACTACTCTCATTGTACCACTTTCTGACATACTATTAAGATTCGAAAATGCATATTATAATATTGTAGTCCCTTCGAAACTACATGTACCTCGACCACTCAAATTCACCTAAATAACTCGAGTTAAAGGTTCATAAAATCTCATCATAAGTATATGATCCATATTTTTTGCATATAATAACTCGAGTTATAGTACCAGAACTGAATCTTATACCTAGTATTGGTATCTCAAGAGCAGAGGCTCCTATTTCCTCCTAGTACCAAATAGTTTTTGACATCGAGAGACTCAAATAATACAGAATAGTAAGGGGGAAAAGGACCGAGTTAGCGAAGAGGTCAATGGTCATACACACAGAAACAGCTCTTTTTTACTTGCTTTCTTACACGAACAATATTACAACAACTATATAATACAAGACAGGACCAGCCAGAGATATCTGAGAGAATAATGTTTATTCTCCTACTTGCACCTCTTTCACCTTTTTCCCATCCAACAATCAACATTTAACCAATAAAAAAAAACAAATTCCACAGTGTATGCATAATAAATTAATATAACACATTAATTATCAATATCCATGTGGTTCAAATCAAATTTCGTTTGCTTTTATTTTGGATACATAAAGTTACTAAAACTTACAAACTAAGCCCTTGAAAACCAGTCATTGGTCAACAAAGAAAACAGAGAAAAACAGCTCTTTCTACCACAAATATATACCTTCATTTCTTGTTGCTGAAGAAAAAGTATATTACTCACTTTTTTTCTACTATAAACTTTTTCATACAGGACTATTAGCAGCTGGGGAGAGAGAGAGGGAGAGATGGTGTTTGCTTCTTTCTTTGCATCATTTATGATCATGACTTCATCAAGATTATGACACCATTGCCTTCGCTTGTTACTTGTATGGTCAAGGGGAGTCTCTCTCATGGTGGAACATGGAAGGGGAGGGAGTGTCGTTGATTTCGAATAGCTCGGGAGGGATAGATAAGGAAGGAGAAGATGCATTTTACGGAAACAGGAAGCTGCAGATGAGAGCCTCTCCGTATCAACATCCAAATGCAGAGGCCACAACAAACCGATTTGTTAAACCAAATACACACTACGCGGGGTCTTACAAGGTCAAGAAAAGGTCTTACAAGGTCAAGAAAAAACGTGGAAAAAAAAACGAAAGTTTCGTTTGTGAAGCTCAGGTAAGATAGCACCGAAATTAGCATGAGCAAGCCACGATTCTACACCGAAACTCAACTTGCTCATCACCAGCAGCAGCCGTAGCTAGAGTGTTCCCTACAATCAAATCAAATCAAATCAAATCAAATCAAATCAGCAAGTCGATGAGTGGAGATTAGAAATGAGCCAATCGATCTCCATGGAAAAAAAATAGCAATGAGGAATTTGTCTGTGGGTTGAAACCTTTCCATGTCGATAACAATCAGAAAGGAGTTGTTCATTCTTTCATACCTTGTAGAAGCTCATGCCTTGCTTTCATGTCTGAGACTTTTTCTCTCTCCTCCATATTGGCAGAAAATGGCAACGGACAGAAGAAAGTTAGAGAGAGAGAGCGGCGAGGAGGAGAATAGCAGCAGGGGAAACGAGGCAGAGAAGGAAAGAAGAAAGGTTTGGAAAAGGGAGGAAAGGGCGGAATTGGGTTTATAATGCGAAAGGAAAGGGAGCAGGTGGGCCCGTTTCACACTGGGCTGCGTTGATGGACCTGACAGTGATAGGTCCACGGCCCAGAAAGAATAAACCTCGGCTACGTGACCTCGGGAAGGGCACTTTTTTCTTGTTTGCCCGAGGGGTTGGGGCCTTGATTTTACCCAGGATTAATTTAAACCGTCAATTAGATCAGAAAAGCTTTTTATAAGAAGTAAAATCGATATGCGATATTTAACTTATGAAATTGTTTAATAATAATTAAATCATGATTTCAGTATAAAATACTTTAATGCTGATCTTTTCCCGAGTAAGGTATTCAATCCTTGGTTTTTATCAATGGGTTAATTTATTTGCTGTTCTTTTACCTGCTGGCCGAATTTGGCATCGACTGTACCATGAAATTGCTAAATGGCCATATAAAATCTCTAGGCTATGGACTTTCTTTCTCTCATTTGTTTTACGTCCATTTGGCCAAGCCAAGGTTGTAGTCAGGAAGAGCAGAAGGTGTTGTTGCTCTCCAAATCTTTTCCGTTTTTCCCCCCCAGTAAACGAATAAATAAACAAATGCCCATATGTCCAAGTAATGAGCTCTATCATTCAAATATATCTTGAGGAAAATACATTGGTCGTTTTATATACGGGTGTTTTATTCGTGATAATTGACAAATTTCACCCAATTTAGCCATGATGTTTTCTGATTGAGACCATACATAAAAATGAGATCGCCTCAAATTGACAAGGTAATATTTACACGAGTACGTAATAGTTAATATTAAACATCATATGAGATTCATTTTGAATTTCTATGCACCATCTCATACTATATATTAAGAATATTCATGATGCTAGGTGCATATGGGTAATTGGGATGAAATTGGATACTATAATAACGATACGCGCGGTAGCCCGTATCATTATTATAATTATTATGTATGCATCGTATTGACAATACTTACTGACGATTTTCATCTACATGGAGTTAACCAATGATGCCATCTTACAATTAGTTTGAAGACAATACACTCATATAACTCGATGCCCTAGCTTTTGCATTCACATGCATGGTTACTAACTTACTATACGTTGTTATTTCTGTCCCTTTACGTCTTTGAGAAAGTGTCTAGCTAGCCGCAAACTCTTGTGTTTTGCATGTTTAGTAGTACTTATCATCTCGAGCGCCGAATCCACATTTTGGGTTCTCACTCTTACCATCATTTATACATCTCAAGTTGATATAATCCAAACAATACCATGATTAAATTAATCTGAACAGCAACCAGACAAACCTATCGCCATGCAATACATATCCCTGTTAATGAATGATATATTAATCAGAAGATTGTCGTTTCAGGATGAGACAATTTACGGGGGAGGTTCAAGAAGACACAGAAGAATATCGGACTCCTGTTTTGGTTTTTTCTTCCAAGGAGCCAAAAACATGTCAAAGAAGAGAAGAAGACGGAAGATGAGGGAGCAACAAGACTCTCGAAGGCGGTACACATGTCCTCTTTCCTAACGGTTCGGGCTAGTTTCGGGAGATTCGTTTGATAGTGTAAGAGAGTGGTATAAGATCTATAATAATGATCTTCTTTCAATAATTTAATTATTGGGACCAACTGGTTTATGATATGGTATCAGAGTTGGTTTGGTCATTGATAAAGCACAAGACATGGTGGGCAAGTGCAAATTTCAAACTCGTGTAAGAGAGTGGTATAAGATACATAATAATTTTCTTCCAACAACTCGAGTTATTGAGACCAACTAGTTTATGATAAATAGCTCATGTAGCATCTAGAAATAAACGAGATTATGCTTCAAGATTTAATCCGCAGCTTTGTTCCTTTCACGGTATATATGAGATATTTAAATTTGCTAATTTTGTGCAAGCTGGCATAAGATGTGTAGTTCAGAAGAGCAACATGTAGAAGGATCAGTGCGCTTACTAATTAGTAATTAGCTCCGACAAACTTATATACACCTGACCAGCGGCGGAGCCACTTGGGCCCGGAGTCCTTTGCGCACTACCTTTAGAGATGACAATTTCGACCTGACTCATTTTACCCGACTTGTTTGGACTGTGTAGGTGCATGTCCGATCTGCTCTGTAGGCGGGGCGGGGCGGGCATGGGTACTCCCGTCAACCTGCCCTGCCCTGACCCACCCCATTCTCTACCCGTTCTTGCATAATAACATGTAATCTTAGTCAAATTACTTAGTATTTTCCTTTTGTTATATCATATTTTAGCTATAATAAATCTATAAATTAGTGAAAACCTCAGTTTCTATAATAATTTATCTATATTTATCATTATATGGTTGTGTTCTTGGTCTTATAATAATAATAACAAATATTTTTAATGTTTTCCATATAAATTGCATACACATTGGGTTGACCTGCCCTGACCCGCAACCCATGATAAATTACCCGACCTGTCGTGGATTGGGTGTGGGTATCGAGATATTTGTCCCGGACCTGCCCTATTGCCATTCCTAACCACCATTACCCCATAAAATGTAGTAGTAAGATTTTAATGTGATTGTTTATATTGAATATAAGATCTCCTTATTATTGTAAACAACTTTACGTAAAAATAATGCTTTCTGATGTCTATTTAATTTCTAATTAGTATAATATGTAGTTGAGATAAAGGAAACTCAAAACCGTTGTTTATGTCACGACTGTGTCTATGTGAAACGAGAAATAGCAAGAACGATAAAGCAAGAACAAACAAAACCCACGGATTTATACGTGGTTCATTAACAAGTGTGTATGCTAGTCTACAGATAGGAGAGAACCAATTTCACTGTATTTCGAGGAGATACATATTGCAGAGAAGTATGAGAAGTATTTATAGTACTTCGTCTCCACGTGCTCTAATCCTAATCCAATATGGTAAAGGAAAACAGTTACAACTATACCCAAAGCAAAAAACCCAAACGTGTATCGACCCTACACCATGACATCGAGTCGTAATCGGATAGTAATTCAAATCACATCAACAGTCTAACAATCTGATAAGGTACTAAGTAAAGCCAAAACCGGAAAACGGCTACATCAATGTGTGTTATGGAGTATTCTTATATCTTAAGTTCTTAACACTACTTGCCATATATGGCTTCATTAACTGTAACGAATAATCGGCATCGCCATGTCCTAATTTCCTTTCACATGTAAATATGAAACCATATATATTGTCGTTATCTTCTACGATGGAACTAAGCTAAGAGATAATAGAAGAGAATCCCATCAAATTTGGACTACGAACTAACGACAGGCTCACCCTACAACATTACGACAAATAACACGACACAAAAGTACGCGTGGATTAGAAAACGAAACCTAAATCATCGTTTTGTAGTGTTGTCTCTTCTTAATTTGTGGTGGGTGCATATAATACACGTACGTAACTAATAATTATTATTTGTAAACAAATTTAGGCAGTAACAATAATAAAGTTAAGTAAGTAAGTAAGTACACTGTACACGGTCACTTCAAGAGTTAATAATTAATATTAGCAGGACGGTCCAATAAGTTCTAGAGGCGTTGTTCTATGATTCACATGTGGCGCAAATTTTTTAAGTAAAATAAAATTAAAATGATCATAATATCGTTATTGAAAATTTTAAAAAATATATGAATAAACTATTGTTTGAAATCAAAGTATACATTAACTTTTCAATTTTCGTATTCTCCTAATTGCCCTAGCTAATTTATTAAATTCTTTTTTGTCAATTTCGAACCGAACTATGACTATAGTAACACAAACAACACTTTAACAATTAGTATACATATCACGTATACATAAATACTTATATGAGAATATTGACTAATTACTAATGAGTAATCATAATATTAATTGACAGACTTAAAGCCCCATCATCATATTTATAATAATTAATTAATCTTACAACACAAGTTGAGTCTACTAGCAGGATTATTCAATGAGTCGCTGAGACCCTGTGTTCGAGCTGAAGTATGGTGAAATTTTACTAAGTATGATAAATTGGAAATGATCATAACATTCTTATTTGAACAATAATTTCATTTTTTTATTATGCGAGATATCATTCTCAATCATAAGCATCACTAATTGTTGAGGATATTAATTATTTAGTCAAAAATAATTGATTCCTTGTCTTCCAAGTCCCTTGTTTCCTTGTCCTTGTCAAAGAAGGAAACTTGGTTGTCCCTACGTCTATATAAGCTTAGCTACGGAGATTGTCGTAAGCAAGCCGTCACAATAGTCGTTCAATAAAACGTCATATGTGAGCTCTTCCGAGCTCACCGTGGATTAGTCTCGATCAATCAATCGATCGAGGATACCACGTAAAACTCGTTGTCCCGTGTTATTTTCAATTCCGCATCATCAAAATCTAAATGGTATCAGAGCCGGGTTGTCCGTGAGGTCACGTGTTCAAGTCCTCATGACCCCCAATATTAACAGTTGTCTTTCAAGCACCTGGTATGGCGGGCCTGTGCAAACTTCAAGCCCATGAGTCGGCTTTCGTTTGAGGGGGCGTGTAAGGAAGTGGTTAAGTACCATACACGGGCCTGTATACGATAGCAAACCTCAATCTACTAGGGTTTTGTGTTTGATCTTCCGCAGTCTTCTTCCGCAATCACCATACGTCGGACATCAATTGTCTCTCCCCGGCAGCATCGACGTCATCATTCTGACGCCTTCCCTCCTGCACGGCGGAGCTTCTTCCTCTCGCAGGCGTTGTCCGCTTAGAAGTCTTGTCCACCGGGTGTCTTCGTCAAGGTCACTTGGAATTCAAAAGTAGCGTGGTTCAACACTCATCAAGCTTCCAGTCTTCGTCCGCGAGTTGGTTTGTCGATGGGCCCGCCAATCATCGTCGGCAGCTCCGAATCGCCGCCCCGCCGGTCAGGCAAGGCCCATCGCCCCTCGAAGCTTCCAGAGGTCGTCCGTCCCGAGGTGTCAAATCCTTCATCCGGAGTCAATCAAGCCTCCA